TTCAGCTGTAGTTTTTGCTGCTTCACCTGCATTGGGTCTTTTTTTAAAACAGTGTGTTATTTTGGGTGATAGATACTTTCACATTATGGTAAGACATTTTGTTAGAACTGGCAAGTGTGCAATAATGCACAGTGTTACCAATACAACCCATTGATCATATCATTGAACAGGTCCTAAAGCTACGAAAGTGTCCCATGAGACTAGCTAATTATACACATTGAAAATTACAACAGGAAATTCCTTGACAAACAGCAATAGTTCGAGTTGTTGCTTAATATGGTGAATGTGAATGAGGTTAAGCCTTCTCAGCTCATGGTGCAAAATGAAACACGTACTGTGGCATGGGCTGCCTGCGGCTGAGCTCACACAAGTCAACAGTCAATCATATTTTAAACAGAACATTGCTAGTTGATGCTAAGCAACCTCGGAAAACAGTGGTCAAATGAGACAGTTTTAATTTCCTGTTTCCACTGTTACTTCCCTTTCCGTCATCCAGAAATCATTGTGATTTGTCAGTTATTTCTCAATAATTATTTTAAAATTTTATTTTTTCCAGTAAACAGATAGTGACTAAGGTGTGGCTACATAGCGCAATTCAGTGCTTCCCCTGCATTACTAAAAGACATTACATTTATACAAATATCCCCTATGGTGAGAACCATGAGCTAACGTCCATTGTGGAAATTCTCTGGGGTATGACTGGCATCTTATATTTTCTATATTTGTCTTCAATATTATTGCCATTTGGCATATTCTTCTTCACTATAAGACAGACAAAATTATTGGCCAGCTTTGGCTGCTTTCAAACCCAGAGGTAAAAGGCAGTGTTCTAGCATATTCTTCAACATTAAATATTCTCCAATACAAATTCCACCGGTGCCTTAACATTAAAATTTGCAGAGAAGTATGAGAAAATGTGGATAGATTTACTAAACAAGAAGTATCCTCATAAAGAATTGTGTACTGTCATAATTTTGTAAGGACTGTGAGGGGACAGAGTTCCTTTATCACACAGACATACACTAAATAAATGTTGCACAGTCAGCCACTGGTACTGCAGGACTGCTTAATGATGAAATCATTAGACTTTCAGGAAGTCAAGTTAAGAATAGATTATTATTTGGGCAGTCTGATGCACACTCCGAGTGTGGTACCAACAATGTAACTTCCCCATGACTAAGCCATGTGCAATGTTGTGATCTTGTGAAATAAGCCACATTAAACTGAAGTCTTGTCATTGTGAATATCATATGACATATTACATTATACTTTGGGGTTGGGAAGAATGAAATCAGGAACAAGATATGTAATAACTCCACAGAGGCCCATGTCCCGTAAGCGAGACATCCTTTACTTACACATGCATAGTACTTGACACTGGTCCAGCTCCTTCAGAGCCAGCTCTTAGAGTGATCAGAACCTCTGACCCTCCTGTTAATATCAGATTAACAGCCCCAATCACAGAACTCATTTTCTATGAGGTCCCCCAGGCTGACCTCATTATAATCACTACATCCCTCTCCCTCTGAGTCCGGGGATATAGGCCTGCTCTTTTTCTTGCAGCCTATCCTGGGACATTTTCGCACTGGGTTCGGTTCCTCTGACTCAGCCTCGGATATGGGCGACATGTACTGGACCATGGTGCTGGAGCAGCTTGGAAGAATTTCACCTTTTTCTTCATGCGGTAAAGGCATGGAGGCTGCGACATCCGCCACATCTATCTCAGACTCTGAAGTTTCTTTGACGCTAGGTGGAGGGGAAGAACCCACAGGTTTTGACAGCCTTTCCGGCTGTTATGAAGGGGCCAGGTATGTTTTGCTCCTGCCCACTTGTGAGTTTGCAGCTTTCATATGATCCACTTGTTTGTTCAGGACCACTTAGCCTACCTGAACTTTGTACATACCAGAAGTCTTCTCCCCATTTGCAACTCTGCTGGAGCTATCCTTGTAGTTGCATGAGGGGTGAAGCTGTAGGCTGTATATTAAGCTTGCCTTCAAAGTTTGGACTGTTCTTTCCACCAGACCTTTGGACAATGGGTAGTATTGAGCTGTCCTTACATGCTGAATACCATTCAACTTTAGGAAATATTTGAATTCCCTGCTGGTAAATGACGGCCCGTTGTCTGTGACCAACACTTCCAGGAACCTGTTTTTTGCAACAGAAGCTCACAGCTTTTCTATTGTTGTCCCTGTGTTTGACCAATGAACTCTCTGTACACCCAATCACTTTCAGTGGGTGTCCACAAGGACAAAGAACGTTGAGCCTGTGGAAGAGCCAGCACGGCTGACGTGTAATTGAGTCCAGGGTTTACCCGGCCATTCCCATGAATATGGGGGAGCTGCTGGTGGTGTACTTTTTGTCCTTGTTGGCACTCTGGGCACTGCCCACCAACATGGCTATGTCTGCATTCAATCCTGGCCACCAGACATAACTTCTCACCAACATTTTTATTTTGAACAACTGGATGACCCTAGTGGAGTTCAGCCAGTATCTGGTGGCGACCTTTGCTCAGGATAATCGTTCTTGCTCCCTGTAATAAAGTGCCATTACGGTGGTCAGGTCTCACCGGGTCCAGAAAGGTTTCAGTTCTGGTTCTGATGGTCCTTCTGCTTCCCCCATCACCCCCAGCTGTTTTAGTTTTGCCAGGACCGGATCTTCTTGCATCCACAGTCTGATATCGTCAGCGGTGACCAGAAAGTTTAAAACCAGAATGGACTCTTCCAGGGAAGGCATCACCAATGGTGTACCTGCCAGCAGGAGGCAACTCAAGGCATTAGCTACTTGGCCTCTTGGAAGGTGTTCCAACTTGTAATTGTATGCACTTAGAATGACAGCCCAATGCTGAATTTGATTTGAAGATATGGGAGGCATGGCCTAGTCTTCTTTGAGTAGCCCTAGTAGGCGTTTGTGGTCTGTTACTATTACAAATTTATGTCCACAAACTATTGGTGGAACTTTCTCACACCAAAGATGACCGCCAAGTGTTCCTTCTCTATCTGGGCGTATTTGCGCTATGCATCAGCCAAACTCCAGGAAGCATATGCTAATGGATGTTCCTCTCCATTGGACCACCTATGAGTCAACACTACTCCAATACCATACAGGGAGGCATCGCATGTCAGCACCAGATCTCACTTGGAATTATAGTGTGCCAGCACCTTAGACAATTATAGCTGCTTCTTCATTTCCCTAAAGGCTACGTCTTGGCTATGAGACCATTTTCAAAGCTGACCCTTTTTCAATAGCAGATGCAAGGGTGCCAGGATGGAGGCCAGGTGACGTACGAACTTCTCATAATAATTCACCAACACAAGGAAAGACCTAAATTCCGGTACAGACATGGGAGCTGGGGCACCTTTGCTCGCTCTCACTTTATCTTCCAATGAGTGTAACCTGGTTTGTCGACTCTGAAGCCCGAGTAGTTCACTTTGAGTGCCTGGAACACATATTTTCCGTTCTAAGGCATATGCCCACCTTGAAGAAACGTCTAAGGATTATGCCCAAATTCTCTAAGTGCTTTTTATTGGTCTTCCCTGTTATTAGCACATCATCTAGATAAATGGTGATCTGGTAGACCTTGAAAATGCTCTCCATCATCTGCTGAAAAATTGCACAGGCTGACACTACCCCAAATGGCAGTCTCGTTTATTGGTACTTCAGGAATCCTCATCGAATCACAATTGCAGGTACACATGGCTCATGTCCGGCTTTGTGAAGGACATTCCCCCCCTCCCCTCCCTGCCAGCTTGTAAAAAATCCTCTATGTGAGGGACTGGGTATTTATCCAGCTGCAAGAAATGTTTTACCAATTATTTAAAATCCCCACAAAGGCGAACCGACCCCTCAGGCTTCACAATCAGAACAATTGGTGCTGCCGATTCTGCAAATTGCACTGGTCTGAAGATTCCTTCACTTTCTAGCCTCCTGATTTCCAACTTTACTTTTGCCCTTAAAGCAGACAGCACTGGGCAGGCCTTGCAGAATCATGGAATTACCTCCTGGTCAATATGCAGGGTGGCCTTGGCTCCTTTGATAGTCCCTAGACCTTCCTGAAAAACGTCCGGGTATTTAATTAGAACTTCACTCAGGCAGCTCCTTTCTATTTGGAAAATGTTGAGCCAGGCATGGTGAATCTTTCACAACCAATTTCGCCCCATGCCTTTTACTACAATCAGTAGTAAGTGAACCAGTTGCTTCTCATACGAGACCGGAACCAAAGTTGTACCCTTAATCTGTAAAGGTTCCCTGGTGTACGGTGTAAGCCGAGGTCTTACGCAAACTCAAGGGTTGAAGTCCAGGACGAATTTTGTCGAAAACTGATTCTGCAATCACTGATACAGCCGCACTGGTTTCAACCTCCATTAGAACGCTAGCCAGATGTATATTTTGATTGGTTCTGATTCGGATGTTGCCAAGCAATTTAACTGCTCTAAGCCAGGTGTAGGTAGGCTTTTAAGGATGTGCACTCTCCCAGATACCAGCCTATGAGTTCTCTTACTCAATTTAGAACTGGTGGGACTCTTTTGCTGACTTGAGTTTGCATACCAGCAGCAACTACAATGGCTTGCCAGCCCAGCTCTGAAGAAAATTTTAACCGTTTGGCCAAGACTTGGCTTTGTTTTGGGGTTTTGCTGTGAGCTGACCTTGAGTCCATCTGTTCAGGATATGGCCTGAGTGTGGCTATGCAATTGCCTTCAGTCAAGTGGTATTCCCCAAGCTCAGTCAGACTAGTGAGGATGTCCACTTCCATCGGAATACCCTGTAACTCATATGCTCCACTTGCCGCATTTTCCAACAATAAAACCAGTTGCAGAGCATGTTTGAAGTCCAGTTGGGCTTCAGCCAGTAGGCGCTTTTGCATGGTTACATCGTTAATCCCACATACCAAACAGTTTCTCAGCATCTCATTAAGGGTTAAACCAAAGTCATGAGCCTCTGCCAGTCATCTTAACCTTGTCAAAAATCCCGACATGGATTTCCATGGTTCTTGAACTGCTGAGTAAAACCGATAGCATCTCAGAATTAAAGGATGCTTAGGGTCATAATATTCCTTAACTAAATCCATCAACTCTTGAAAGGTTTTAGTATCTGGTGCCTGAGAAAATGTTAGGCTCCTAACAATCCAAAAAGCCGCAGGTCCACAAGCTGTCAGGAGAATGAGTCATTGCTTTCCATCTTCTCCAATGTCATTTGCTCAAAAAAAAGCATTCTTTCCACATACTGGGCCCAGTCTTTGATGGGAGGATCGAAAGAGTCAAGTTTCCCAAATAATAGCTTGAGGCCAGAAATGCTCACCCCAATTCAAAGATGATTGTTGCAAGTGAAATTCTTCAGGAGCATAGTTTTTCTCTCATTGTCACTGTAAGAACTTCACAGGGGCTGGTATCCCGTCAGCACCCATCATTGACATGTGCATAATACACACTGGTCCCGCTTCCTCAGAGTCAGCTCTCAGAGTGAACAGAACCTCGGATACCGCTGTTTATATCTGTCAGCCAGGGCTCCCTGATTGGATCAGATTAACAGCCTAAATCAGGGAACTCATATTCTAAGATGCCCATCTGGCTGTTCTCATTACAATCACTACAAGATACTGGATATTGGCTGCTGTAAAATAAAAGATGATTGAATTATACAATAAATACAAGTCACAGCTGAAGTACTGAACAGCTGAACAAAAGGCTCAGCAATAGGGACAACACATTTAAATAATGATTAGACAAATAGACACATGTCAATATTACAGTAGAAAATGCGATGTCTCATGAAACTGTTCGTGTGGAAAATACGCAGCAAGAAAATCTTTTTTTGAAACTAAAAATTCCTGAGGATCTTGGATAAATTGACAAATTTAATGGAGAATTCTCTGAGTTAACCTGCAGTGATTTACCTAAAATTATTAATAATGATTACATCATGCAGCAAGACAGTCCCTGATAACTCTCTCAATAAAGGTCTGATCTCCAGTGCAGCGAGAAGAGAATAAGAACAGTAATACTGCAATGTACATGCTATTTGAGGGCAGCTCATCTCAGTTCCTTCATGCAGTAAATAGTCACAGGCTATTCTGGAAAAGTGCCACTGCATCTGCTGTAGAATAATGATACCTTGCTCTGGATACTATTCTGTGTAATGTACAGGCTCCACAAATGTCTCACAATGTGTCTCACATGGTTTCATTAGCACTGCTGTGAATGGAAAATCTCTGCCCGATCCGAGTAGGAGCTAGAGGACATGAAGGAGGCCATTGTGAACTTGCAGTGAAAAGAAAACTGGCTAAAGGAGCTTGACTTGATTGTCCTGGATATTTGGCAAATGAATTCTGCTCAATGAGTCAGCAAATTAAATCTTTGGGAAATACACAACTTGACCCACATGATAGATCTCAAAGCTCTCTCGGTATGACGGTGAACGGAACAATGGGACTGCTGGCTTCCAGCTCTAATGCGGTAAGAAAATATTCTGCAGCGTCTTCATTTTTCCCTTGGTCTTGTAGCACCTCCCCCAAGCTGTTCCAGGCCTCGTGGGATGTCGACTGAGCCTGAACAGCATCTCTCAGAAACTTCTCTGCCAAACTATTCCGGCCCATTTTGTGCAGTGTCCTTCCCTATAAAAGAATAAAACACAAAGATCACAGCTTTATGCAGAGAATTAACATACATTATAATGCACAGCAGAAGAAAATAGAAACCATGAATTTAGAAAAGGAAGTACTTCCATTAATGGAGCATCTTTCATGACCTCTGGACATTTCATTTCACTCTGCTGTTAATAAATTATGTTTGAAGGCTTGAAACATGTAGGCCAATACAGCAGCTATTTATGCATGCAAGTTCTCACAAAGAGCAGGATGTTAAAAGATCTGTGTTTGGTAGACCATGGCAGCAGACCTCCATTGTCTACCATGGGATGTTTCACTGTGATACTGACAGATTCTTGGGAAGGGAGAAGGGAATTTGAATCAGAACAAATGGTTTGGGTGCAGGGAAATTAAAATCTTAAAGTTCAGGACTGTGGCCCTAAAACCATGCATTTCCATTTTTAACTGAGGTGAGAAGGTGGGTGCGAGTCTGCACTTGTCATGCCTCACGAGGGTAACTGGAGTTCAAGCCCACACCCCCAGTTCTGGAGTCATTAAAAAAAAAGTTAAAGATTTTAAAAGGTACACAAAAAATCCCAAAGTACACAAAAATTCAGACCCTGGTTAACAGAAATCATGGAGCAGGTTTCTATACTTAACAAAATTACCATTTATTACAAGTACTCAGATTCAAGCTACAGATAAACAATTTTACATTGGTAAATAATTAATTAAAATTCTAAACCCTCTTATAAATTCCCTCATACACAACATTGAAAGAAGGGAAAAACAGGGGTGTTATGGATAGAACTAAAGACTGGGAAAGCAGTTTAATGGTACCCGAGATGATTCACATGATTCTTGTGCTGCAGAATGCTGCTTCTCAATCTCCCTTTATTGGAGGTTTTCACTGGTTTGCAGGAGGTTCAGAGTAACTGATTCACTTATAAAAGGCCACTGACTATTCAAGTAAAAGTCACAACTTACAACAACTGCTAAAGGAAAGACAAGTCGGTTAACTTCAGGCTTAAAGTGACTTTTACTAGAGAGAACAGAGGTAGATCCTAAGTTGTAGGAGACCTGATGATTTCTCTGTATCTTGTTCACAGATCCAAGCTGTTCAGTTTTCTGAGACTAGTCTCATAGTTGTTACCATACAAAAGCCTTTGTCATCAATTACTGGATACTAGTCTACAGCCCAAACAGCTACTTGCACCAACTAAAAATCTCTATGTCCAAAAGTCTTCAGCTCCAGTTCGTCTGCAATCTACATTGGTTGAACAAGCAGCTGTGTAAGCAATGCTTGCAACAAGTGTCAGGTTACTTGCTTTCAAAATATCCAGCATCCTTAGTTTCTAAAACAGATACTTTTCTGATTTCAGGCCACAATTAAAAATACAGGGAAAAAATGATCTTTACACACTTTAGATATTATAATAAGGCAGCAAGACTACTTCTATTCATCAGCAAAGTGATGGGAGGTGTTGACGACAATGATACAGCTTTCACCCAAATATGGACGAATGAGCTGACTTCCAGAGAATGATTACTGATAAAATTAAGGTAACATCTGACAGAGTGTAAAACTTTTCAATTGGGATCAGGAGAAAATGTCAACAATTGGAGACATACCTAACACAAAGGAAGATAGTTGAGATTTGTTAGAGGTTAATAATCTCAACTTTATAAGTTTCGAAAGTTTGTGTCCTTGATAGATTTCTAGATATTAAAAATATCAAGGGATATGGGGACAGTGCAGGAAAATGGCACTGAGGTAGAATATCAGCCATGCTCTAGTTGAATGACAGGGCAGATTGAAGAGGCTGAAAGACCACTCAGTTTCCTATTTCCTGTGTTCCTATTCTTCTATGATTGCACAGTGATCAGCTCTACTTGCAAGTCCCGACTTGTGCGGTAAGGCATAAATAACATCAGGGTGCAAGCTGATACATGACAAGTGACATTAACCGTAATAAGTATCATTCAATCATCATTTCCAACAAGAGAAAATCTAACTATGTCCCTCGACATTCATCATCCATCAACAATAATCTGTGATGAGGACGAGGGATTACCATTGATTCGAACCTTAACTGCATGAGCCGTATAAATACTGTGGTTCAAGAGCAGGTCAGAGGCAGGGAATTCAATGGTGAATGATTTGCTCCTTGACTTTCCGAGCCTTTTCCAACATCTACAGGCACAATCAGGAGCATGATGGAAATCATGGAATACTCACCATTTGCCTGGATGAATGCTGCTCCAACAACATTTAAGAAGTTCAACATAACTTAGCACAAAGCAACATCTTGATCACCATCCCAGATACCAGGTTAAACATTCATTCCCTCTACCTTGATCATGGCTACAATGGGTACCATATTTAAAATACACTGGAGCAACCTGGCAGGGTTTCTTCAAAGTACCAAACTGGAACCTTTATTGCCTATGTCAACGGCTCCAAGGACATGGGAATGTCACCACTTTCAAGTTCCCTTCCAAGTCACACACCATCCTGACTTTAAAGTATATGGGCATTTCTTTACCAACAAAATCCCATAATTCCTGATCAAACAGCATACAAGAGTAGCTTTATCATATAGCTAATGATTTAAGAAAGTATTTCACCACAATATGTTAAAAGGCAAATAGGGATGGGCAGTAAATTCTGGGCTTACCAGCTACACCCACAGAAAAGTCAAGAACTCTCACAAATGAAACTCTCTCATTCTATGAAGCCGCAGAGACTTCAGGGTGGTGGATTCAATCCAACATTCTTAGCTTCAAAACAGCAGCCTACAGTGGCATGCGTACATTTCCAAAATACAACAGGAATGAGTCACTCTATTTGGACATGCATAATCTGATTCTACAGAGCAGTAATTCACTACTGTAATTTCAAACCTTCAACCTTTCACAGTTGAAGCAAAGTTGGGTTTCACATAACTCTCTCCCTTTATAAGTGAGTTTTGTTAATATTCCCCATTTATCCTTCCTTTCTACCAGGCTGGGAGATTTCATTAACCAACTAATGCAATAAAATTTATTGACCAGTTATGGTCCTCTAAATTTGATCAAGTTGTAAGCTTGGTGATTTATCATGGTGCAAGTAACATCTGTGTGCTTAACTCCACTTCTAGTCATTTATGATTTACTTATTTGCAATTTGTGATTATTTATCATCTATTACAACTCTTCTCTGTCCTGCTGACTAGTCTCTCAAAGGTCTATAGGAACAGGAATAAGCATTCAGCCTCTTGAATTGTTCTGCATTCAGTTCAGGCACAGTGGTTGTATCACTGGAATAGTCATCCAGAGGCCTATACTAAAGTCACAGGCAGAATTTCAATTCCAGGATCGGGTCCTTGTTGCCATGCTAATTTCCGGGCCCAGTCCACGTTGCTTCACCGCAAATCAACTTAATCAGGCCAGAGACAAGTCGGCTGACCGTTTCACAACAATGGGCACAGGCAAGAGGTGGGGAAAACAGGAAGCACCAAATTTGATTTACAAGGCAAGCAGCATTCTGAGTAACCTCAAAAATAGAAGGTAGACCGATATCACCACCACCACCCTGCAAGTTCCCCTCCAAGCCACTCACCATCCTAACTTGGAAATATATTATTGTTCCTTCAGTATCATTGAGCCAAAATCCTGGAATTCCCTCCCTAATGGCATTGTGGATCTTCCTAGAGAACATGGGCTGCAGTGGTTCAAGAAGGCAGTTCACCAACATCTTCTCAAAGGCAACTAAACGTTGGCCCAGCCAGTGATGCCTGCACCACTAGAGTGAATTTTACAAAAAATCCATGACCTCTCAAGTCTTTTAGGACAAAGACAGCAAGTGCATGGGGACATGCACACAATCCTGATTACTAATTATACCATTACTGGGTCAAAATCCTGGAATTTACCCCACAAGGGCAGTATGGGGGCACCTACACTATCCTTTATCATTGTAAGTGTTGCAATTAAATCATTTCTCAATTTATTAAACTCCAGTGAATATGTGTCCTTGTAATTTAACACATTAGGTTGATTTGTGCTATACTTCCTCAGGTTTGGTGTCCAGAACTGAATATTCCAGACAGCCTCTGTACAACTGAAGCATCACTTTCACACCTTCATTCCAACCACCTTGAAATAAAGGCTAACATTTCATTTGCTTTTTTGATTACTTTTTGTACTCGAACACTGGACTTATATGCTGTGTGTACTGGGATATATCAGTGAATTCTTCCGCTCCTCGACAATTTCTCATTTCTTGTCGCAAAAATTATATTTGGGTTTATCTCTTTCAGATCCATAGTGAATCATCTCAGACTTCCCCACTTCAAACCTTATTTGTAATAGTTTTGCACATTTGTTTTGTCTTTCTATGTCCCTTTGTGATTTCCATTTCTCATCCACATGACCTACTGAGTCTCCCAACATAATGTCACCTGCAAGCATGGAAATATATTTATTTTGTCTATCACTTAACTCATTCATTTTGTGATTATTTTCCCATTTAATTTAGATTTCATTTCATTTAAGATGCATTTCATTCTCGCTGAAAATCAGTTAATATAATTGAATATCTAAAATTAAGTTGGGCCACTTCACAATACTCCTTTGTAAGCTGATTTTCCATTGCACATGACCCATGCTACTTTGAATTGTTCTTGCCCAGTGGTGATCATAAAGTAAGGTTGGCTGAAGGTTATTTTTCAAAAGACAGATTTTTTTATTACAGGATGTTCCCAACAGTTAACCTTGGAACTCTGCTATACTTGCTATTGAATTTCTGTCTCTGCTTCAGCTTGTTTCAAGAGTTGGTGACATGGCTCTTTACTCAATCTAATGGCATTTATACCACATTGATTAAGATGTTTACAAGCATGAAAGAGTTTTAATCTGACAAACTGAATACCTTTTGCTATGAGCAACCATCATGCTAGATTCACAGGGTTAACTATTTTTAATTTGCTCTCAAATTAATTAGATTTCAGTTCAAAACCTTGTAATAGTACATTTTACTGCTCTGG